ACATCAAATTCTGAATAACCGGTGGGTTATTTTACAATGCATGTTACTTTACATGACATCCACCACAGACAACCGTTCATGATACATGCAATTTCTTTCATGATTCGTGTCGCGTTTACGGGATGATTTCGCCAGTACCAAAACTGCAAGAGTTTCTCCTTTTCAGCCGGAAAATAGCACTCACCTTGCCGGCAACAATTTTCTCGTAAATCTGGATTGGTTGGTCGGCGAAAAACGGTGGATAACCGCAGGCCATCTCGTAAATCAGAATGCCCAATGCCCACCAGTCGACCGCCTTGTTATAGCCCTGAAATCCGGATGAAATAATTGGGATTTTCAACACGTTCAAACCAGAGTATTCACGTATATCAGAATGGGTAAACAACGATAAAAAGCGATCATTTTCCCCCCAAAATGCACCGAGAACACTTTACATTTGTACATATATATACGGGTCTAATAGAAACTGACAAGCAACGGGTCCCGGTGAAACAAGTAACGGCTCGTATAGACGACATCATTTATACTGACGTATTCTTTTTTCAAATAATAATAAATGAGCCTTGATAAGTCTTTATGGCAGTGATTTTCGTGACTAGTTTATACTCAGCAGATGGAATGGTTGAGAATTTAGCCGATACTTCCATTTAGTCAGTAGTGGTTGAGCTAGACCCTGATGAGTTAAGAGTTAACTAAAAAGAATGAAACAATTTTTATTTACACCAAGTTACCATTGATAATAGTTAGAATGTAATGTTTGTGCACACTGATAGTCGACTGGTCTGTCTTTGTTCTTTAGGACTTTTTCGAGTCTCTTCGGTATCAAATCCTCCAGCTTTGTTATGAATTCGTTTTCTATTTTGTGCTCCATTACGTATCGCACTTTTGCCTCCAATGTCCAATTTACAGGTAGCAAATTGACTTCTCTCTTCAAAACAGAAAACAGATTTTCAATCCCTTTGGGACCTGGGCTATTAGGGGAAGTTGCACGAAGTGGATCTTCGAGTTACGCACTTTTTCTTAAGTCTGAAAGTAAATAATAAGTGAACCAGTCTCCTTAACTAAATAAATTCATAAATCTTTCTTTAAACGTATCACAGAATGTTATCCTAAAAGAACGATAACTTTTCCCGACGTTTTTCTTTCATGAAATTCCGGAAACATTTTCGTCATTATTGATACGAATTTCTCACTATTCATGGTGCCTCTGAATGATGTCCACTGACAAGGTTGACCATGTTTTATTCCTGCCCAGAAGAGTAATCTCAACAGGTGAGAAACTGTCTCATTAGGTGGAATAAGTTCTTTTGGGAAATTCTTACCAAGCTTGTCTGCTCGTGTGATTATATTTCTGACCTCTTCACTGAGATAACGAGAACTTTTGGTTTCGAGCACTGTTGGCTTCATTATGGTGATAATAATATATAATAATATAATGTTCAAAGCTGCGCACCAAAATAGCCTTGATTTCAAGGTTGAATTTGATGAAAATGGGATTTCTTGTATCCAGTGAGTTAGCTAACGAAAATATATTATCAGTAATTTGAAACCTTATTTAATGCAATTTGTTCGGGTATTGAAAGAACTCCATTTGATTATTTAATAGAGTTGGTATTATGGATTATATATTAGATAAAATATTGTTTTATAACAGATAACCGAGATGGCAAGGGTTTATGGAAATAATTTGGGATAATTCTTGCGTCACTTCTATAAGAATATATTGTATTCGCATAATTGATAAAGTTCGCGATTCTCGTGTTGAGAAGACTTTATCTTGGCACCCAAGGTCACGCATGTCTAATGGACATTCATGCAGCCTAGGAACTACGTAGATAGAAATAAACAAGGGATAATTTATTGTTCATACCTCAGACATTAATCTAGGTGATAAATGTAATGAAACCGAATTCAGTCAGAAAGAAAACATTTTAGGGCATCACAATACTGTATATACGTATAAAAAGCACTGCTCAGCAAATCACTGTTCTTTGATGGACTCGGTTGCCGTGTGCACAGTTTTCTGTGTCCTTGAAGCGACGGGGTAACTCGAACGTTAAAATCGCATACACCGAACCTTTGATTGAGCTTGATCTTCCAGATCGCACTCAAACATTTTAGATGGTGAATGTTTGGACTAGCCCATTCGGTTTTTTCGCAGGCGCCAGGCACTGCTGATGATGTTCGATGTGGGTTTCACTTCTTGGGAGATCGTTAATTCCCCACTGTTTGTTTGCATTTTAGTGCGATAACCAACAAATAGCGCTGGACAGCTGTTTCGTCCTATTTGGGACTCGTCAGCAGTGCGTATTTTTTGTGTCCCTGTCAGGACTCGAACCGCGATTCTTCGGCCTGGGACTTCAAACCCTTGGGCTACGCGGTTGATGGTTATCACCTTGTGCAAATGGCTCAATCAATTTGTGCTGACCAGTTCCAAACAGGACGAAACAGCTGTCCAGTGCGCCTTGTTGATTATCACATTTCCATTGCACAAAAATGCACTCAAACATTAATTAAATTTCACACTTTCTACATAAATTAAAATGCTAAATTCAAAATACGGTACAACATTATTTGCATTCAGAATAGCACATTTTTCTTTCCAAATCACGAGCTGCAGAATGTGGCCTTAAATGTTTCTCAAATCTACCCGGTGATATTTTGCTGCGTTGTACTGTCGGACTCATAAAGTTTACACTGAACTTAATGAGATTGTGATATGTATATACGTTTACACAATTGCTCATTAGATGTTGGAAATGGAAACCAGAACGGGATAGTTACACGTAGTATGCAGTACAGCGTTTTTCTTGACGATTCTTCCACATTTGGTTCGGTTTCTCGATCGTCCCTTCTTTTCAAACTTAAATCTTTTGGCAATCCGAGACAGCTGCTAGTAGGGCTTTCAGACTATTTCACACCGAGGATTGAGTGCACCAAATTAGGAAAGGGGACATCAAAACCTCTTGTTAATAATTCTGGTGTTCTTCAAGGTGCTGTTCTATCTCCATATGATTTTTTCTGCTTTTATTAGTGATCTTCTGGTCCCACTCCTTATGCAGAGTGTATTTTCATTCTTTCCCGCTTCTCATCTCCAACTGAATCTACTATTCTTAACTGTAAACCTGTAAACCAGAATGACCTCAGTCAAGTACTTGAGTGCCACCATCGACAACAATCTTCACTGGTCCACACATTACATTACAATTGTATGGGAAAACTGAGACGCCTCTGCTTTAAGTTACGCAAACTCGGCCACTTCCGAACCCACACAGTCAGTCCTGTCCTGTTTCATGCACCAATGCTTTTTACCTATTCTACTCTATCGCTCCTCGGCAGTGTTTCTTTTAAAACAAGACTCTAAAATCATTCGTCGTGACTTGGGGGATAATCAATAGTGCATCGTTAATCCCGATCGATTCACTGATCGCAGAACTCATTGATGGCCTCATCAACTCTTGTGTTGAATTTGCCAATAAGATTCTGAATGACCCTATTCATACACTGCATCCCAATCTATCACCTTGTCCTTCCCATCTGTCCACACGCTGCTCAATTAGGCATCTATCCTGTCGTATTAACATTTATAAAAATTCCCCCATACCCTACCCGACCCGTCTCCTAACCAAAAAGGAACAGGTCGCTAGTGAACTGCGTCAGCAGTTCTGTACATGAAGCAAACTTCAGCCACATTCATTACGCTATATGTTAAATAAAACTATATATTTTATTCCGCATGACGAACCACATGAAAATTTTTAACGAAAATGTAAGCATATATTAGCTTACACAAGTTATACAAATACGAAGTACATCCGTGCTTACTTTACTGAGGATAATTTCCGGGGCCAAATATTCTGGAGTTCCGCAAAGTGTCCATGTTCGTCCCTTGATTCGTTTGGCAAAACCAAAATCGGTAACCTAATTTTAGTTCGGCCCGTGTACAACGAGTCCGGGGAACAACGGCAGCGGCGGGTGGGAGGTGGGAGATGATAGAAACAGTACAGAATTAGGGACCGAGTTTTGAGAAAGCAATCTCAGTTGGACCCAGACAACAATGTGACTGAATCACGAGTAGAATGTGTGGAAAAACGAGTTTGTGTATTACGTTTATCTGCTCGGAATATGTATCGTAGTGTTACAATTTCAGAAGGCGATGCCGGTCGAGGATAATCGTTTATTGAGGACTTCAGATGGGATATGACCAATTTGGTATACACAACACATCAAATCTCATCAGAAACATACCATCACAGTCCCTAGCCGCACGACTTGTAATGAACGTGGCAATCGACAGTTATTCTCTGAGATACAGCGGTTTGCCCCCGGTGGTCTTNCACAATTTTTATGGTATTCAGTGCACAGAAAACAGGCCAATTAATGAATGTATTCTAGCCTGAATAAATTGATAAATTATTTGGCTACAAACTAATCACGTATTATCCATAGCACTGGAGTAACTGAAAATATAATCCAAGAAACATACAACTTGCCCTTCAAAAGTTGGCCTTAAGGTGTGCGGTTCATTGAATAAGCGTCTTGTACTGTCACCATACACAAACCGAATGAAACATTCAAGAGATTTTGGCATATTATTGAAGCTGAGAGGCAACTTAATCGAGAGGCACGTAAATCCGATGAATCGGTTGATGTCTTGTGGGAGTCTTAATAAAAAAGTCTTTTTTACTTCCTTTTTTATTTATTGAATATACAAATGTACAGTCAACTTTCAGAAAGGGAGCTGTGGCCATACATAGGTTGCCTGAGGAGAATACAGAAATAGATTCATAAGTTGATGACCTAACCACTTGGCCACCACCGCTTCGACTTGAACGTGAGCCCAATTTGTTGAACAATAAACGAAATTTCTTCATCAAGACAAACCGAGATGGAGAAAACCCATCATATCAAAGTAAGACGAAGATTGTATTTGATCCCAGCAGAAAATAGTTGAACAGAACCAATCTGGAGGATAGTCCGAGCTGATTAGCCGTTTCTTCAAACGGCTACCGTTCGGAAAATGAGGACACAATTTTAAGTGCGGCTGAGGTCGCCTGATATGAAGCCGTTATTTGAACGCCCAGCAGAGCATGGCACCTATTGATTTTGCCAACGAATTCAAATCGCGTCGCCCGTCCATGTGGCAATGGGTTTATCTCAGGGGTGGCCAATGAGTAATTCAGCAAGCGGAGAAAACTCATCTACTGACTTGGTCCTACAATTAATTTCGTTTTACCTGTCAAAAGAAGTAAATATTCATCCAGCCTGACGAGTTCCGAAGGAAGTAAATACTGAGTGCCTTATAGT